TTCAGGAGTCAAGCTGCTCTCTGAAAAACTGGAGGATCCAAACTACTCACTGGACAAACTCAAGTATGTGGGGCAACAAGGGGATTTTACTCAATAACAAAATAAACTGAACACAGCTTTCAGCTATGGAGGACCAAACCTGCAGAAATTAAAAATAAATAAATAAATGTAATAATAGGAAAATAAATAAAGACATAAATGGTTTGATAAAACAAATATAGTTCATTTGTAGTAAAATTTAATCCTGCATTTATTTTTATTACTTTTTTCCTTTATGTATTATTTTCTGTATTATTTCATTTATTTATTTAATTTATTCATTTATTTTTAAATGTATTTATTCATGCATTTATTTATTTTTTAAATATGTATTTATTCCCACATGTATACATTTATTAATTAATTTATTTTTACTTTTCCATGTGCAACATGAAAATGAGGGAGGCGGTCCTTGTGGAGATCCGGTGAATCATTGTTTGTGAGCTCACGCAGAAGCGTCAGATCAAACTAACGATAGAGATCTGAGTTTGTTGGATCAACTGGAGAGTTCCAAGATATTTTCACAGATTGACATTATTATGTCAAATTATTTTATTGGGACTGAATTCAGCTACTTATCCTGATAGTTTTCTCATTAAGCCCGGAACAATCAATGTCGTCGATGAGATTCGGTTGATGTTGAGACTCGGTGGAGATGTCTAAGGCTTGTTTATTTTGTAATCACAGAGAGAATCTCACAGAGAAAAGACTCCCAAAAGCATTGTGAGCCTAAGTTTATTGTAAACCAGTTGCATCAAAGGTTTGGAAACGTGGCCCACTGGCATAGTGGCCCAGTTGGCTTGATGTTGAACGTTCGATATTCGCAAGTTTAGGGACAATCTCTAAAGTTACATATGACATTGGTATACACGTTTTGGTATACACATTCGATTTTTGATATTTATTAAAATAAACTGTCAATTAATCGCACATTTGTTTCTGAAATTAATCACGATTAATCGTGATTAATCCCACCTAACATTAAAGTTTTAAATGTACTTTTATATTGCAATAATTTCACATTCAATCTTCAAATTAATGTAGAAACAACATAAAGACAGTATATTTTTAATACTTGTTTAATGGCATCTTTTTTTATGACTGAAGGCAAGTACTACTGATGTCTCTATGAAATTGTTTTTTTCCCTAATATTTAACCATTGACTAGCCATTCAACATTACAGTATACTTGAGATCTATCCATTTTAACATTTATAAGACTTTAAAAAAAGAACAGCTTCGATTTTAAGTCAACTTAAAACAATCTTCACATAAACCCATTATAATAAATGTCATATTTAGCTACTGTGCACTTCAGCATGTAGGAAATATACACAAATGGTTATTAAAAAACACTCAATTTTAATTTAAATAAAGATTAAACCTTAAAGTCAAGTCACCTTTATTTATATAGCG